GTCAGGCCATCTCCTCATAGTCACACAGATCTGCAAAACAGGTGACACGTAGGAAAACACATCTGGATGATGGACTGCTGTTCCCGCTTTCCAACTGGACTTTTGCGTGTCACATAGAATGAGGGCTTTCGGGACTTGCAAAGCAGCAGTCAATGGGGCTGCTGATATGCTCAGCCCCCAGAGGAGTGGCAGCGAAGGTGAATGGCAGGAAGGAAGCCTTCTTGGGGGTCCTCTGGACTCCTCTGCCTGCCAATCCCAGCAGCGAGCGGCATCAGCCTACCTCACCCAGCGAGGCTTAATGGCCGCGCTCTGACTTAAAAACACAGTCCCAGGGAAAGCATTAACATTCTGAGCTCAGCTGTGTCATCCCAGTTGCCATGGCAATGCCAGGAAATATATTTTGTGTCCGATGGTTATTTCTCCACACTAATGAAATGGACATTTTTCTTCAGTGAATTGAATCAAAACTAATTGAGTAGTAATCAGTACAGACCCTGAAGTTCAGGGAAATGTAGTCCGACTAGTGCTTTGTAGAAATGCAGAAACCATTAACTATCTTCAAATGAGATTTTTTTAATTAGAGGAATCTTAGCAACCTATTACAGGAGGGTGTGAGTGTTATCACACAAAAAGCTCCTCATTTGTTTAGTGCTGGGAGGGGAAATTTATTTTTAATTAATTCAAGTGCTGATAGGGTTCTAAGGTTTGTGTGCCCTCTGCCCCAATAAATATCGTAAACTGATGTGTTCTTTAGATGGACTTTAACATTATATATATATATATATATATATATATTAAGGCATATATATATGTTAAAGTTATATATATATATATAATTCATATTTTGGATTCTCAGATATTTTCAGTGAAGGGTGTTTTTTGCTGTGACCAACTGTTCCTGAAGCCCATCGAACAGTGAAGACAAAAAGGTGATTTCTTTTTGCTTGTTTGTTTTCGATAGTCTCAGAGCTAAATCTGTTCAACTTCAAATTGCACTGTGATGTAAGACACTACACAGAGAGATGGCTGGGAGCCACAGCGTTGTGATCTTTGTCCTCATATATATCTACAAATAATTCTTTGATTAATCTAATAGTTTTTCTTGCTTCTGTTTGGATTGTGGATATAAAGGAAAATAAAAGAACACATGAATCTCCTATGTATTAATACCCCCTTCTGAGAACAGGATATTGTGTATTATTACAAGTAAGTCTTTATCTCTTTTGAATATGGGTCTAGCTCACAGCAAAGAGATATTTGGTTACGTGCAAACGAGTGTCCCTTCCCTTCACTGCAATAAACTAGAAGCTTGTCTCTAAATTTGTAAGACAGCTGGCTTGTTCAGTGTGGTCCCACAGCAGGCTAGGGACGGCTAAATGCATTCCCAATTTTAGACGTCCTGATACTCTTTATTTGTAGGATCTGCTGCGATGTGTCTGAGTTCCCTTTGCCCTCAGAGACTTCTTATATCATGTGGCCTTGGGGACTAGGAGTACCAATCCTTCTTTCCCTCCGTTAAGGTGATCAGCAGCGGGGCATGAGCCATCCATTAAGGCTGTCTTCTTGAGGTTGGTACCAGAGCCAGCTTAAGGCAGATGGGGTTTGAGGAAATGCACCCCAACATTCGGTAAATGGACATATAGATGAGTCATTTCCTTGGGGCTCAGAATCGAATGCTTCCAACCAGCAATAAATTCACATTAAAAATTGATTGCCCTGTAATTTTTAAGAACAGCCAGGCCTGCTGGTACAAGCTAATGTTTCCATGAGGTGAAAGAAAGCTGCCTGGAGTCGGTCTCTCAGCCCGTTGGTGGGATGAGGTGCGGAGGAAGGAGCGGCGGAGGGGAGAGAACAGAGACTCAGCTTTTTCGTACTCACCTTCTGCTTTCATAGCCTGGGGGTCTAAAGTGGGAGAAGCTGCTTTTCTGTCACCATAGCAACTTCAGTGCATCACCCTGGGATCAGGGTTTTGAAAAGCAAGGAATGCCAAGCTTGGAGGAGTTAGGGGTGGTAGAGAGAGGATGGGGTTTTGCTAGAAATAAACACAATAAGGTGGCAGGGCAATAGAGGAGAGTGGATTTATGGTTTATGACATTCCTAAAATATCTTTATTTAATAATGAAAACTTCATTATCCGGGCATGGGTTGAAGTGTTGCTATGGGCCCTCTGAGGATCCCAGCAAAGATCTTTCATCTTGACAGAAGTTCTAAATTACAACATTAGTGTTCTAACCGAGAGGCTGTTATTGCCTATTTGGTCTGTCCAGGGAAATGAGGCACACGTTGCTGGAGAGTGGGTTATTGAAATCTAATAGCTTGGAATATTAAAAATGGGGGCTGGGTTGAGGGGAGGTCTCTCTCTCTCTCTCTCTCTCTCTCTCCCCATGAGCTGGGGATAAATTAAGTGATAAACCTGGGATGTTTACCAAAGTTTCATTATTTTTCAGGGAAAAAAAGTAATTTATCTTTATTATGGCCAGAGCCATTATTATGTTTCACATCATTAAGAAGCCGACGTAAGGAGACCCCTAAAGCTAATTTTCAGACCAACTATATGAGCCTATTATGCCTTTATTTTCATCCTTGGTATTTCTACCTCCTTTTTAGCCACGCAGCCTGACCTCCAAAAAAGTGTTTGGACTTCAGATGTTTCAAAGACAATTAGGTCTAACTGGCTCCCGGTGTTTGACTAATGGTCAGAACAGATAGCTCTCCAGATCACAGTTCAATTTCCACTCCTTCTGGCGGGGCCGGGAAAATGGCCTGGCTGGGCCGGGAGAATCAGAGAAGGCCCACGTGGGTGAGCCGACGACTCTCCGCTCTTCTTTCCTTTGCCCCCTCCCTTCTTCTCTCTTCCCTCCCCACCCCATCAGCACAAACATAGTCACCTTCATTTTCTGTTTCTAAGGCCAGTCTCCCCAAAGGAGAGGGAGCTGCCTCTGTTATAATAATAACAGCCCAAGAGTGGGCTTACCTTGTGCCAGGCACTTTGTTCAGTGCTTTCAATGTGTTATCTCAATGAAGCCTTGCGCCTACTTCTGAGATGTAGCTTAGAACTCTACTTCTGAGGGAGGAAGCTGGAGTCAGAGAGAACAGGTAGCTAAGCGAAGACCACATAGTTCATACCTTGCAGCACTGGGCCTTGAATTCAAGCCTTTTCACTCAGAAGCCCAGACATACTGCTTCTAAGGGCTATACTGTACTGCCTCCCATGCATGGTGATGCCAGAAGTTTTCTCCTGCCATGCCCCCGCCCCCCGCCCCGCCATATCCCCACCCTCATTCCATGAAGGCTCTCCTTAAGATGAACCCAATATTAGATACTCCTTTGCTTTAAGAAGGAGGCTGGATGTCCCTTTGTAAAATAAAAACGTATTCCTGGTTATAGGGTGGTAAGTTTGTGGCCAACTTTGGTCAGCAATGATGTGTCATTTGTTTAGGGGGAAGGGGTGTAATACTATACAATAATTCAGTTCTTCTGGAAATACTAAATGAGATATGGCATTGAAAATGTCTTTTAGAGCTATGGTACCAGACAGGGCCATATCCTTCTATGTGAGTTAGTATTGTGATTACCCAGAAGGGTGTTCACCAATCAGCCCGTGGCTACAGAGAACTTCATTCATTGGCAGAGAGCAAGGTCCTGAAGGGTTACAAAGTAGGGTGGTCAGTGTGGCTGGCGAGAGAGAGAAAGAAAGGCCCTTGGCTCAGGGCACTGCTGGGAAGTAGGCTGGAGAGAGGCCCTGCAGAGGGCACTCTGGGCAAACAAAGAAAGGGCACGAGGTACACGCGCAGGTGTGTGAGCACACAGACACGTGTGCAGGACGGGCATACGTTGTGGGAAATACAGGGAATAGAGCAGATAAGCTGAGGAATGGTGGTGGCCTCTGACAAAAGGAAAAGCTAACACTGAGAAGCAAACTTTTCCTTTTGCATTCTTCATTCCTTATTCAGGCCAGTGCCCATGTATCCAATTCAGGGGTTTCCAAACCTGGCTGAGGTTTAGAAAGAAGACTTAAGAACCTTCCCAGGCACTCCGCCAGACTCTGATTTAGTAAGCTTGTGGCAGGGCCTGGGTATTTATACATTTTAAACATCTTTCTGGGTGACATCTACTAAGCACTCAGCCTCAGGGCCTGTGCGGACACGCGGCCCACATGGCTCTTCCTTTACACACCCTGCGTTCCCCTCCTTCCTGTGAGGCTGCACCTGCTTAACACCTCCTCAACACAGCTCCTGGGCGCGCATCTCCTCCTCAGTGTGCCTTCCCTGACCTTGTCTGCTCCTTTGTTATGCAACCTAGAGAGCTGAGTTCTCTTCCTTCAGAGCACTTCTCTCAATTCATAATTATATTCTTAGAAGGCGAGATTCCATAAACATGAAGCAAAGACTATATTTGTTTTATGGAACGCCAGTGCCTCTCCAGCACCTAAAACCGACCAGAACATGGTTTGGTGATTAACAATGTATGTAATTTTTATTGTTTGTCTTGGCCTGGGTTCCCTAGACATTAGGAACGACTGAGGAACTTAATAGCTCTTTATTAGGGAGTGCATTCCAGTGGAAAGAACTGTTAGGATATAAGAAAGCTAAGACAGTAAAAGCAGCAGAAATAAACACAAGGGAAGCAATGCTGAACCAGCTACAGCTTTGTAACAAGTGCAACTGATGGTCTTCGCTAGGCTTTCTGAAAGGCCCAGCGAATTAACTGTGTCTAGGGGAGCAGGGTCGGGGACTTGGTGGCCTCCCATTGGTCAAAGTGCAACTCATGAAGAATGAACTTCCCTGTACTTCTTGGTGGCGTCTTGGTGGTGGATCTAGACCACAGGGGCAGGCGGTCATTGCCGCAGAAAGGGATTCTTAGTGTGTTGCTATGGTGGCAGCAGCAACAGCAGCTGGGCTTTGTGACTGTTGGTATAGCACAAGCGGTTGCTGTGGCTACATCAGCTACCAAAGGAGGCAAGGTGTGGACCTGGGTGAATAGATGGATTTATCCCACATCCCTGCTGCAGGCTGGTTGAGTCGGCAAGTGAACTATCCAGGGTCGATATTGGTGAGAAGATGAGGATGGTAACCATTAGGATGGTGATAATGATGCTGATGATGATGTCATAACTATGACAACCAATGCTTCGTTACGTCCACATGGTGCCAGGTAGAGAGCTTTATGGCGAATTCACAGATACAGAGATAATGCCCAAATACCCATTCTGAGAGGGATTCAGGGTAAGAATTACTCATTCCCAGCATTACCATCCTAACGGGCCCTTATCACTTCTACCCTAATCACCCAAGAGCTTCCTAAAATGGTCTCACTTCCTCCATCTTTTCTCTCTATTTCATCCTTCTACCTCTTGATCTTTCTAGTACAGTGCTTTCACCATGTCAGTCCTTTGGTCCCTTATCATATTATATCGATTTAAAAACCTCTGCCTGTCATCCAAGACCCTTCAGCATAGACCCACACTCTCTATTCAACTTGATTTTTAAGGATGTCCTTTTTAATGGGATGGCTTCTTTGTATCACCTACATGCTTTTGTTCACTCTAAACATCATGTCCTTTCTAAAAATACCATTTCCTATCTAGAATCCAGAAGCCTTTCTCCTGATCTCCACCTGTACAGATCCTTTGTATCTTTCAGTGTGCATCTCAAGTTTCATATTCACCAGACATCTACCTGTTATGTGTTGAATTGTACCCCTCTAAAAGATGTTCAAGTCCTAACCCAATACCTGTGAATATGATCTTATTTGGAAATGGTTCTTTGAGGAAGGTCAAGTTGAGAGGTGATCATTAGAGCAGACCCCAATCCAGTAAGACCTCTGTTTTCATGATATGAGGAAATTGGGAGACAGATGTGCACTCAAGGAGACTGCCATGTGAACATGAAAGCAGGGATCAGCATCATGTGTCTCTAAGCCAGGGAACGTCAAAGACTCCAGCAAGCCTCCCCACGGTCCCCAGAAGCTAGGGGAGACGGAACAGATTCTCCTCATGGCCCTCAGAAGGAGCTAATATGCCAACACTTAGATTTGGGACTTTTAACCTCCGGAACTGTGAGACAATAAATTTCTGTTATTGAAGCCACCCAGTTTCTGGTACTTTGTTAGAACAGCCCTAACAAACTGAGACATTTTCTTAGAGTTCTTTAGCTATTCCTGCCTTTCTCATTCAACATTTCTAAAGCATGCAGCCTTTACCTCACAATTTAGCCTTTTTAAAAAACATTTATTTTTGAGAGAGAGAGAGAGAGAGAGAGAGAGCGAGAGAGCGAGCGAGCACAGTGGGGGTGGGGAGAGAGAGAAAGAGAGAGAGAGAGAGAAAATCTGAAGCAGACTCCAGGCTCTGAGCTGTCAGCACAGCGCCTGATGCAGGGCTTGAACCCACAAACTGTGATATCATGATATGAGCCAAAGTTGGATGCTCAACTGACTGAGCCACCCAGGACCTCCCCCTCCCCCCGACTTAGCATTTAAATATATCCTTGCTTGTATTATGAACATTATGTGCATCACATGTCTTGTTTCCCTGTTAAGCATCAAGATCTTCAAAACTACAGACCATAGCTGCTACATAGGTCTTAATCCAGAACTAGCACATAGTAGTTGCTCAGTAAATGTTTCTTCCTCAGTCAGCCTGGGTTGTATGAGATTTATGTCTGTCTGCTAATATGAAGTTCATTCTTATCTTTAGTTACAGTATGTGAGGCCAGTGGATAAGTGTTGCCTGGGAAATCATGTTGCAAGTAATGACAGCCAGGTCCAAACTGAGCTGTCGTCTTGGCTAAGTGCTTTAAGCAAGAGCCAAGGTATTTAGTTCAGTTGGTGCCAAGAGGCCAGGGATACAGGTGGCTGCCTCCTGTTCTCCCAGATGAATACCTAAGGCTGAATGCAGGCTCCCTTGGCAACCATTTGACTCATTCCCAAGCCATCTGCAAGGTAATGCCAGGCATATTTCAAAGGGGCAGGTAAAGGATGAGTAATAAATATTGTTGTGTTGCCCATTCTTCTCATCTAGAGGGCACCAAGTCTTGCCTCATGAATGGGGCAGGTAGGATTGGTTGACCCAAAATTCTTGGTCCTGGATTAGCACTATTCATAATAAGCATTGCTGGGTTCCAGCCAGCCAAGAGGTACGTGTATTTTCACACTGAAATTCTCTTGTCTCCAGATTCTGGATAGATCTCAGAGGGATTAATAATCTACTGGTAGACCTTCTAAGACCTGATTTCTTAGAGCTAAAGACCTAATTTGCCTTTCAACATATTTTACATCAGGAGACCTGGCCAAGGGATATGTGTCTACACTTAGGGATGGCCTCTTTTCCTGATAGCTTTTTATGACTTATGACTAGGTTTGTCATAAGAATATACAGGTTATTAAGCAGGACATGATAGCTATCGTCACTTTGCTAACATCTTCCCAAGCTGTTACAGACAATTGCCCACTTCTTTTTTTTATTAATATTTTTATTTATTTCTAGCAGAGAGAGAGAGAGACAGCATGAGCAGGGGAGGGTCAGAAAGAGAGGGAGACACAGACTCTGAAATAGGCTCCAGGCTCTGAGCTGGCAGTCAGCACAGAGCCCGACGCGGGGCTCGAACCCACGAACCGTGAGATCATGACCTAAGCGAAAGTCAGACGCTTAACCGACTAAGCCACACAAGCGCCCCAACAATTGCCCACTTCTGATGGCAGTGTCTGACGTTGATGACCAGGCCCACTGGACTATTTTCCCCATTGAAAAGAGTCTGAGTGAAATGCACGCTGGTGGCACTCCCACAGCAGCAGCCTCTGCAGAGCAAGGGCTTTCTTTCAACTCAGGTCTTCCTTGCCCTTCATGTTCTTCTCTCCAACTTGCTTCAGGAAAAATACTTCTTTTTCTTTTCTCAGGTATGCCTCCTGAGCTCTGGTCCTGCCTGCTGAGGACCATATAATGTGAATTTCAAGCTGTCTGTAGAACTAGGCCTCCAACCCCAGCCAGCTCAGGACATTCGGCATGGTGAGCTTCTATGGTTTTAGGGAGCTATTGCAAGTGACAAGGAGAACAGTCATCACGAGACCCGCCAGCACTGCCTAAAACACAGCTTGTCACTGAAAATGACGCCTGACTAGAGCTGCCATTGAAGTGAACATGGAGCTTCTTCAGAGAGAAACGAGGTGCCAGTCACATAGGAGGCATGAACCCAACCACTGGGGTCTTCAGGAATTATGGGTAACTCCTTCTTGTTCAAAACCATTTGGATAAAATAAAATATATCAACTTTCTGTAGGGAATTGAACTGATTCTTTTAAGGGGTCATCAAAAGCAGAAGGGTAGAGTGATGGGAAGGTTTTTTCAAGATTGGAGAATGACTTAAGCTTGGGTTATGCATTTCCAGCTGTGTATTCACATCCTGCCTTTGCCACTGGTCTTTCTCCAGGAAGACAAACAGGTATAGATGGAGGGTATAAGGCTATCAGATTGAGAGGAGGTCTTCCTTCTGGGCCCCAAATGAAAAGAACAGTCTTGTGATACCTGCACCCCCTAGGAGTCTCAGATTTCCTATAGGTCATTTATTTGCTCACATGGGTGACTTAATTTCCTTATAGACCAGAAAGCTGAGAGTTGTTTAAGGACTGAAACTGAAAGTTGTTTTGCGGATAGGGACTCCTGAAACTAAGTTGGATTCTCTAAGCATTTATAATGCCGTGAAACCTAGTAAACCTTTGCAACTCATCGGACCCATAATACTCTTACCTGTTCTCACTGCATTCTCCTCTTTGAAAATAAGGGCATGTCCAGTAAAGTGGAGAGTTGGGATGAGTCACTTTGAGTGACAGGTACAATAGAGATACTTTTACTGTTTAGATGGATTCTGGTATAAATGAGTTTATAAAGCTAAGAATCATTCACTTTTTAGGGGTGGTTAAATTTGGAGTAACATGGGGTGTACCTAAAAAGATAAATTTCTGAGCTTGATAAGATATGTTGACTTTGGAGTTGAGTTTTTATCTCTCTTTCAAGATGGAATGCAAGTATGTTGAGGTATTAACACTGCCCTATCAAGGTTTTCATAATAGTTAAGTGAAATGAGAATATGAAAACCATGGTTGGCACTTATACAATCCTGGAATTAAGAGCCTCTTTAAATTTTGCACCAAGTACCTCTTTTACTCAGTCCTGTTAAAAATACCCTGCATGAGGTTTGGTACAGAACTGGATATTCAGAGTCCCAACTTCTCCTTCAATGTTAGTTGATGGAATTGGTTAGGTGATTTATACCCAAACCTCTATATTCCACCCTGGGCCCATCAGTGTCTTCCATTCATCTCTAGGTGTCCCAGTCTGATGCCCAGCCAGGGTCCTAGCCAGCATAAGCCCATGTGTGGATGGAGGGAGTGAAATTTTGAGTCTTTGAGAAGAACCCAAGCAATTGCACAATTTTAAGATGAATGCCAGCTAGCTTGCACCTCTGGCAGGATGAGGAGCCAGGTAGTAGAGCTCATCTCTGGCACCAAGGGCAACTACAGTTTTAAAGGAAATGTTGACAGGGGCGCCTGGGTGGCTTAGTCGGTTAAGCGTCCAACTTTCGCTTAGGTCATGATCTCACGGTTCGTGGGTTCGAGCCCCGCGTCGGGCTCTGTGCTGACTGCCAGCTCAGAGCCTGGAGCCTATTTCAGAGTCTGTGTCTCCCTCTTTTTCTGACCCTCCCCTGCTCATGCTGTCTCTCTCTCTCCTAGAAATAAATAAAAATATATATATAAAAATAAATAAATAAAGGAAATGTTGACAGTACAGTTTAGGTCCTTAAGAAGTCTTGGATTAGGGAATGTAGGTTTTTCATCTCATTGCTTCCCATTAGAGTGAGCCTCTACCCTGAATTGACTCAGAAGAGCCCAACTGCCTGTGTTTAAATCTAGCCTTGCCACTTGCTGTGTGACCTTGAACATGTTGTATGACCTTTCTATGTCTCAATTTGTTCATCTGTGAGAGGGGGATAATATGGTATCGATTTCACAGGGGATGTGAAGAATGTGCGTAAAGATCTAGTGCAGCATACATAGTAAGCTCTCAGTAAAAGTTATTCAGTGACATTATTATTATGTCAATGACCACATAGAAGAGGAGGGCTATAACTCAACCAGAGAAATGATCTTATACAGCAATCTACTGCTTTATGGACACTTGTTATTGGGAGGGGAATGATTTTGCCTCAGAACAAAATGCAGCACAGGAGAATTTTAAGCAACATACCCTCCACTACATTTAAAATATGACTCATTTCTCCAACCTAATTTACACCCTTTATTTAGAAACACACCTTTTGTTAGAGCAGCACACACCTGTGGTGTATATTAACAGCATTCACTGCAAAAACTCAAGTTAAGAGACGGGCAGAAAGTGAAGGATCTAATATTAATGAAGTACCAATCATGTGCTAGGGAAACATACATTATTTTATTAATTCTTCTAAAGAGTCATGTACAGTGTCTTGTGTCTCTTTTATAGATGTAAAAGTAGTAAAATTTTCCAAGGTCAGGAAGCTGGTAGATGTCAGAGCTGTTGACGTTCATTCTATTGGACCATGGAACTCTTGACAAGAGCAATCTTTTTTTAAAGTTTACTTATTTATTTTGAGAGAGAGAGAGAGAAAGAATGTGTGTGTGTATGTGTGTGTGTGTGTGTGTGCGAGAGAGAGAGAGAGAGAGAGAGAGAGACAGAGAGAGAGAATCCCAGGTAGGCTCCGAATGTCAGCGCAGAGCCCAACTCGAGGCTCAAACTCACAGACTGTGAGATCATGACCTGAACAGAAATTAAGAGCTGGACACTTAACCGACTGAGCCACCCGGGCACACCCAATGCGAGCAATCTTTAGTCCTTTTCCTGTGTCCCCCTCGTCACCCCTTTCACATTCACCAATTCTATTGTCCTTGAACTCTTACCCAAGGACTCCCTCACAGGGAGAACAAATGAGCCTCATTGGCTCGGAAACACATTTGTTTGGGGTGTGGAAGAACAGCATGATGGACAATGGGAAGCAGGGATACAATGGTGTAGTGCAGCTTAATTAAATTAGTTCAAGATCATGGTAAATCCTGAAATGGGAACACATCCATTAATGCTGTTATTATTATCAAGGACACGAATGGCCCATTGAGGATTGATGAGAGAATAAACTGTCCATATGCTGTGAACCATAAGGAAACAATTGATAGGAAAAACCTTAGCGAGGAACTTTGGATGGGATTGATAATGCATCCTCCACAATAAAACACACACACACATACACATGCATAGTAAAAGGGATGTATGCCTGGCATCTGGTTAATCAATGAACTGTGAAGGGACTGAGACAATAAAGTGAGCAGGTTCCACATTAATATTATAATATGATATGTTTATAGGATGGGAACACTCAAAAGTGATGCCGGCAGCAATGTATAGGAACTATTTTAATTGAGTTCATGTACTGCAGCAGAAGCACAGACTTCATCCATCATTCAAAGAAGAGGGTCATAGGAAGGGAAGATTTTGGCCTCATCTGCCCCTATAAGTGGCCTTTCATTTTTATTAGATGTAACCAGTACGATGCATTATTTTAGCCATTGACTATTTAGCCAGGGAAGTTGTTTAGGAAGACACAAGCCTTGGCAGTCCTATCTATAACCAAAGGATGTTAAAATAAAATATGCATATCTTAATGCCTTCCTGAAGCCATAAGCCTGTTGTGGTTCACTGGGGATCTGTCTCTGCCTGTATGATCTATGGTGTTATGGACAGAGGGGAGGTAGATGCAACCAATTATACCCATGGAGCAAATCCGGAGAAGAAGAGATGTATTACAGGCACAAGGAATGATTTGCTGCTGAAAAGGGCTCCATTGGCCCAGGAAAGAGGTTAGAGGGAAAAGGTTCACAGCATAAGGATGCAGATATGTGCCAGGGAATGTCATGAAGGGCTGCCAAGGGTGAAACAAAGGGGAACTCCCCACCTGGAAAATGTTCCTCCTGATAGCAATCTGTTCCAAGTGAAATCAAATGGTTTGCAAAAATGCGCTGGAAATCACCAACGTTTCATGGGTTTGGGGTGTGAAATTACTCAGTGATCAGGCCTTATGTGTACAGCCTGTGGATGGCTTATGAGTATTGACCTTGAATCTTGATAGGACCCACTGGGTTTGCTTTCAGGCCCACTCATTCAAAATGGAGATACTCTCTCCAGCCATCAAGTGATGGAGTGGCGCTTGCCCTCTGACAACCACTCTACCGTCAAGCTCTGACAAGTCTCTGAAAGTTCCTGGCACCAGACTTTTCTGTTAGTCTACTCCAGTGGCCTTAACCAGGGTGAGGGCTGGAGGTCTACCACTCACCAAGTTGTGTATTTATGTCAAACAGTCTGCTCTGTGCCAGGCTCCATGCCGAGCTCTAGGAAGAGGGTGGTGGCCTAGACAGGCTCCATCTTCTGCTCATGGGGCTTATTTATAGCTAGGGGTAGAGAGAGTTGGATCAACAATTACAGTGAAGTGTGATCAGTTCTAAGAGAGAAGAAATACAAGTTACCATGGGAGCAAAGGGCAGAGATAGTGACTCCTCATCTAGACTACAAGAGAGAGAAAGGCTTCCCAGGGCATCAGTGTCAAAGCTGGAAAAGAAAAAAAAGGGGAACTATTTCAAAAAATTGCTCATCATCCTTTGAAAGGGCGATGCTCACTCTTCACCCCCTACCCCTTCCCTTTGCCTCTTGCCCTCCAGCCCTGAGGAAATCCTTAGAGGCTCTGGAAAGGGCCACGCTCTCTCCTATCTTTGAGCCTTTTTATTCTCGTGTGTCTTTCTCACACGTCAATTCCCATCTATCCTTTACAACTCTTTTCATCAGGAAATTTACAAAAGCCAGCTTGCATGGCAGTGATTGCTGTCACCTAGCAGACCAGGATTCAGTCTGATTCCGCCCTTGAGTTGTGAATCCTTGGGCCAGTCACTTCACTTTGCTGGGCCTCATGTTTTAGTTTGCAAATTGGGGGTAATAAAAGTACTTTCTACTGGGATTTGAAGGGACCTAATAAATGGTGGCCCTCCTTTCCATCCATGTTTTGGATAAATTGGAATAAATGACAAAATAATAAAGCAGATGACAAACTAAACATCCACGTTTTCAGTGATTAAGCTGCTACTCAAGAAAATGGTTGTTACTCTATTTTTTATTGATTGTAGGATGACGTCCTTTCTGTTCACAATGAACATCTTTCTTTCTTTAAAAAAATTGTTTTAATGTTTATATATATTTG